AGGAAGGCCACATAAAGAATAAAGAATTGGCATGTTTTTCAAAATAAAAGACCAATCGTGTTTTACAGGAAGCTAAGAAAGAAATTTGTTTCAAAACAAAAGCCCTTAAAGTGACTGTATCCTTAGTGAACGCTGAGAAAGAGACATGTTTGTAAAAATAAAAGCCCCATAGAGTAACGGTATCCTTCAGGAAACTCAGGAAGAGGCATGTCTTTCAAAATAAAAGACCATTAGAGCTATTGTATCCATACAAGAAGCTCCGAAAGAGACATGTTTTTCAAAACAAAAGCCCCATACAGGTAGTGTATCCTTACAGGAAGCTCAGACAACATGTTTTTCAAAATAAAAGACACATAGTTAATGTGTCCTTACAAGAAGCCCAGGAATGAGACACTTCTTTTCAAAATAAAACCCCCACTGATTTGCAATATGCTTAGAGAAGCTCAAAAAGAGGCCTTTTCTTCAAAATAAAAGACCCCTAGAGTAACTTTATCTGTACAGCCGGCTCAGGATAATGCATGATTTTCAAAATAAAACCCCCAGAAAGTCCCTATCCTTACAGAAAGCTTAGGTTTAAGTTATCACACTATTCTAGACAGCCGAGGTGTCTATTATCATCTGGCCGGGGACAACAGCTGGAAATTAGCCATGTTTACTAACGCGGCCCCATTTACTGTTCTTGTGATCAATGGGGACTGTCCACGACACTATCAACAAATCAACTCAACTAAACTATTCAGCATATTTTTAATAAACGTAATAAATGTTTTTAATGTGTCTCTGGAAATACTGTCCTATTAAAGCCCTGTGTTCTGTGTACGTACCACGTGGTGACAGTTGAACTCCTTCATGACGGAGGCCTCGTTTAGGAACTCGATCCTCTCCCTCATGCTGGCAGACTCGTTGACCGTCTTGATGGCGACGCGTGTCTCTGACTCGTCTTTCACCACGCCTTTAGCTAAACCTTCGTAAACCATCCCGAAGGATCCCTGACCCAACTCTCTGTTCAGAACGATCTTCTCCCGGGCCACCTCCCACTCGTCTGGAACGTACACTACACAGGAAACAAACAAACGTATGTCAACAACAGAGGTGGGAAGTAGTGGAGTACAAATACTTTGTTACTGTACTTCAGTACATTTTTCTGGTATCAGTACTTTACTCCACGACGACTTTTGACTTTTACTTCTTACATTTTGAACCCAAATACCTGTACTTTCTACTTCTTACATGTTGAACCCAAATACCTGTACTTTCTACTTCTTACATGTTGAACCCAAATACCTGTACTTTCTACTTCTTACATGTTGAACACAAATACCTGTACTTTCTACTTCTTACATGTTGAACACAAATACCTGTACTTTCTACTTCTTACATTTTGAACCCAAATACCTGTACTTTCTACTTCTTACATGTTGAACACAAATACCTGTACTTTCTACTTCTTACATTTTGAACCCAAATACCTGTACTTTCTACTTCTTACATGTTGAACACAAATACCTGTACTTTCTACTTCTTACATGTTGAACACAAATACCTGTACTTTCTACTTCTTACATGTTTTACACAAATACCTGAACTTTCTACTTCTTACATGTTGAACACAAATACCTGTACTTTCTACTTCTTACATTTTGAACACAAATACCTGAACTTTCTACTTCTTACATGTTGAACTCAAATACCTGTACTTTCTACTTCTTACATTTAGAACACAAATACCTGTACTTTCTACTTCTTACATGTTGAACTCAAATACCTGTACTTTCTACTTCTTACATTTTTAACTCAAATACCTGTACTTTCTACTTCTTACATGTTGAACTCAAATACCTGTACTTTCTACTTCTTACATTTAGAACACAAATACCTGTACTTTCTACTCTCTACATGTTTGAACTCAAATACCTGTACTTTCTACTTCTTACATTTTTAACTCAAATACCTGTACTTTCTACTTCTCACATTTTTAACTCAAATACCTGTACTTTCTACTTCTTACATGTTGAACTCAAATACCTGTACTTTCTACTTCTCACATGTTGAACTCAAATACCTGTACTTTCTACTTCTCACATTTTTAACTCAAATACCTGTACTTTCTACTTCTTCTACATTTTTTAACTCAAATACCTGTACTTTCTACTTCTTACATTTGAACACAATACCTGTACTTTCTACTTCTTACATTTTGAACACATAATACCTGTACTTTCTACTTCTTACATGTTGAACACCAAATACCTGTACTTTCTACTTCTTACATTTTGAACCCAAATACCTGTACTTTCTACTTCTTACATGTTGAACACAAATACCTGTACTTTCTACTTCTTACATGTTGAACACAAATACCTGTACTTTCTTCTTCTTACATTTCCAAACAGGCTGGTTCCTTTAGTTTGAATGTGTGTTTGGTGGCGTGATCATTATTATTTAGAGTCATTGCGTGCCTATTGATTTGAACACGATCCGTGTATCCATCATTTCCTGGTCTTCTCTAAAGAAGAGGGACCAATGAAAACGTTGTCATGTTGCCGTTGTTCAGCATGGAAACATTCATTAGCTAACAATGACATTATTGTTCTATTAATATAAAGGGAGGTCAGGTACTCTTTAAAACAGCTGCTAGTTATGGGTACTTTTTACTGAAGTACATTTCAAAGCCCTCTTTACTTTTACTTGAGTAAAGAAGTTTAGTCAGTACTTCTACTTTGATCATTTTACTCACTTTCTGCGGCGCTGAAGTACTCCGGGTTGACGGAGGCGTAAAGGACTCCGTTTCCAAGCCGGTCGCTGTTCCTGACACGAACGAAAACGAGAGTATTACACACACACACACACACACACACACACACACACACACACCTCATGCATGCATACTCGTGGTATCTGCATGCTTTAAAATCATGAATATCAAAGTTTTGAAAACAACTAACATGCACATTTTCTTCCTGTGTTATCGAATATTATTATAATTTCATCGTAGAAATTCCTGTTTAATAAAAAAATACTGCAAACACACATACTGCAGTTTTAAAAAGAAACACACACACACCTTTTCTTGTTGAAGACCACCAGCATGGAGACCAGGAGGCAGATGAGGAGGATGATGACGATGGGAACAAAGATCATGGCGTAAAGAAAGTTCTCATATCCTGTCGGGGAAACACTTTGATTACTTTCATGATTAAAAGGCTTCATCATTTCTCTGCCGTTTGTTCAGATACAAAGAAGTGAAGCAGTTCAACAGCTCGGAGAGTCCTGTTGTGAACCCAGAAATGTTGAGTACCCCAAAGTTTTATGTTAGAAATGTATAGTAGGGGTCTCCAGAACATAGAAACTTCCGGATGCTAACCTGAATAATTTGCACAATTAGCATAAGTTGCATTGATTAGCATTAAAGCCAATGGGGACAATAGTTTAAAAATGGCTTAGCTGATTCGGACCATGTATGAGTGTTTGGGGGGTTATTGAGGATGCTGAGTCCATTTCTGAAACGTTCAGGATCGACGATGGCAGTTATAACCAGAAAGTGGCCATATTTGTACTCTCCCTTGGGGCGGATTTTTAAGTTTGAGGGAAAATTGCAGTTTTGAGTCCCTTAAACTTAAAAATCTACCCACAATTCATCTAAATCAGTCCAATAGGAGTACACGTATGTAAAACTGCAATTTGTTGGTCCTGAAAATGTTAGAAATGGATTAATTATCCTCAATAACCCCCCAAAAACACTCCAGAATTGTCAAAATCTTTAAATGGCAACTAGATTTCGGTGTGTGTTGTGTGTGTGTGTGTGTGTGTATGTGTATGTGTATGTGTATGTGTATGTGTGTGTGTGTGTGTGTGTGTGTGTGTGTGTGTGTGTGTGTGTGTGTGTGTGTGTGTGTGTGTGTGTGTGTGTGTGTCAGAGAGCGCATAGCCTTTGACATATTGTTACATTTGAAGAATGTTTGAAGTATGATGCAACATCAGCTGCTCTCACTTAGCTGTGACACTCCAGAATTGTCAAGATCTTTAAATGGCAACTAGACTAAGAGTTAGATTTCGGTGTGTGTGTGTGTGTGTGTGTGTGTGTGTGTGTGTGTGTGTGTCTTACTCTCAGCCACGTAGAGATCCACAGCCGGAGTCCAGGATCCGTTTCCTGCCAGAGACGTCGCTCTCACTCTGATGGAATAGTTTCCTGGACTGAGGTTGGACAGCTTGACGCCTCGCTGGCTCTGATACGTCTGACCGGACACACACTCGTGCTTCTCCGCCTGACACAAACACACACACACACACACACACACACACACACAGGGAAGATCAAACAGTTATTTACGAGAGCCTATGTTACTCATAAATGTATAAGCAAAAGATAATCCAATGCCAGCTGTATTATCTTAACTGTGCTATAAGATTTAAAGTGCCAATGCATCCTCCCTCATGATTAATAAATAAAACTGTGGTCATTATGTCAGTTCATTTGTCAATATATACTGTATGTATGTAATACACCCAATTCATTGATCAATACAACCTACACACCAGGGGTTCCTTTAGTTAAAAAGGAAGGCATAGTATGTTTGAAGGGGATATTGGTCTGATATTTCACTATAACCAACTTCTACAAGAATAAACGTGACTTTTTAAAATCATTTTTCTCTCTTTCAGCTCCTCAGTGATGTTGCAGGAGGTTGTGTGTCTTCTCACCTCCGCAGCCAGTTTGAACTTGATCTCGTACATGAGGATGAGTCCGTTGGGACGGAGGGGCTCAGGCCAGCGCAGGAACACCCAGTCCTCCTCCTGACCCTCCCAGGACACCGGCCCGGGGACATCATCCGCTTTCTCTGGAGAACCACACGGAGAACACGTTCTACACGATTTCTGCAACAGCCTGTTGTACAAGTTAATCCTAACAACTACTAGCTAACTGAATCCAATGAAAGGGCTTATTTGCTAGTAAAACGTATTACCGTATTGACCCGAAAGAACTCTGAAAAAGAGGGGTCTGTTCACACATAAATATTTGTGTGTATAAAAGACATCTTTAGGAAGATTTGCAACATTTTAATATCAATTAAAGCCTTTTTGTTCATAAATTCAATGCCTTTTTGGACTTTTTAGGGACCCACGGGAACCCCGGTTTGCTAGTAAAACGTGTTCATTGTCACCTGCAGGGGACACATGTTCATGTATAAAAGACATGAAGAAGTGGATTTTGCATCATAGGTGACCTTTAAGTCTTCAGGAAGATTAGTTACATATATTTAAATTAAGTTTCAAGGTTCCTACAGCTTAATGTAAGTCAGATTTAAGACTTTTTTCTTTATTAAATGACCTTCACACGAATACATTTGAGAAGAAAATATAAATTATGATGAGTTTAAAACACCCAACATATGGCTGATTTTAATTTGTATTTGCATTATTAAGACTTTAGGACTTTTGGGGACTTTTTAAGGACCCACGGGAACCCTGATTTAACTACTTTGATAGTAAAACTTCTTAATTATCACATGTCTAAACAGATGGTCCTCTCACCTGCAAGCTTGGTTCTGGTTTTTATAAAGATGGATCAGGACAAAAAGAGAGGGGGTCTTTGTTCCTGAGACGTTCAGAGGTGACCCTTAAGTCTTTAGGAAGATTTGCAACATTTTCATATCAATTAAAGCCTTTTCAATTATAAATTCAATGCCTTTTTGGACTTTTTAGGGAACCACGGGAACCCCGATTTGCTAGTAAAACTTCCTAATTATCAATACATTACATTACATTACATTACATGTCACTTGTTAGATGCTTTTATTCAAAGCGACTTACATACTCAATACTGTGGGCAATCCCCACAGGAGCAATGTGGGGTGAAGTGTCTCAGGGACACAACGACATGCTGACTGCAGTGGGGTTTGAACCTGTGACCCCCTGATCCGAACACCAACGCACTAGACCACTGTGCCACACGCCTCCCCCAATATATAACCAGAAGTTCCTCTCACCTGCTGGTTTGGTTCTGGAGAACACGAACTCAGCGGCGCTGCAGCGTTGGACCTGCCGGTTGCAGGCGTGGATATCGATTCTGTAGACGGTGAACGGCTGGAGGCCGAAGATCTGCAGCTCGCGCTCGTCCACCGCCTGCTCCACGAAGTCAAACTCTTTCTCTGCCGGATCAGCGTCCGTCGAGCTGCTGTTACTGCCAGCGTTCGGAGGAGAGAGAGGAGGAGGAGGAGAGGAGGAAGAGGTGTTGGAGAAAAGGAGGCGGTTGCGACGAGAGTGAGTCGAGTTTGCGACACCGAAAAGATCTCTGCGTTTACGATCCGCTGGTCTGAAGGAGAGAGGAAGAGGAGATACAAGAGAGGGAGGAAGATGGAAGAGCAGTTTTAATCAGAATCAGAACTCTTTATTCGTCCCGTAGAGGAGGAATTCTACTTAACCTGATACTCTTTTCTAAATGAGCTCACATAAGCAGGATTTCTTTAAACGGGAATGCCAAATGCCACTAGATACGTTTGTTTGGAAATAAAGAAAGTCATATGATCTATTTCTACAAAATGAGTTTTACCAATGTGACACAAATAGGGGCTACAAGAGCTATACAGAAGACAAAAAACACTTGGGAAACCCCCCCACTATTCCCATTTAATAAGCAGAGATGGTAAAAGTACACACATCCGTTACTCAAGTAGAAGTACAGATACTCGTGTTTAAAAATACTAGAAGTCCTGACTAAACTTCTTTACTCAAGTAAAAGTAAAGAGGGCTTTGAAATGTACTTCAGTAAAAAGTACCCATAACTAGCAGCTGTTTTAAAGAGTACCTGACCTCCCTTTATATTAATAGAACAATAATGTCATTGTTAGCTAATGAATGTTTCCATGCTGAACAACGGCAACATGACAACGTTTTCATTGGTCCCTCTTCTTTAGAGAAGACCAGGAAATGATGGATACACGGATCGTGTTCAAATCAATAGGCACGCAATGACTCTAAATAATAATGATCACGCCACCAAACACACATTCAAACTAAAGGAACCAGCCTGTTTGGGAAATGTAAGAAGTAGAAAGTACAGGTATTTGTGTTCAACATGTAAGAAGTAGAAAGTACAGGTATTTGTGTTCAACATGTAAGAAGTAGAAAGTACAGGTATTTGTGTTCAACATGTAAGAAGTAGAAAGTTCAGGTATTTGAGTTCAACATGTAAGAAGTAGAAAGTACAGGTATTTGGGTTCAAAATGTAAGAAGTAGAAAGTACAGGTATTTGTGTTCAACATGTAAGAAGTAGAAAGTACAGGTACTTGTGTTCAAAATGTAAGAAGTAGAAAGTACAGGTATTTGGGTTCAAAATGTAAGAAGTAGAAAGTACAGGTATTTGGGTTCAAAATGTAAGAAGTAGAAAGTACAGGTATTTGTGTTCAACATGTAAGAAGTAGAAAGTACAGGTACTTGTGTTCAAAATGTAAGAAGTAGAAAGTACAGGTATTTGTGTTCAAAATGTAAGAAGTAGAAAGTACAGGTGTTTGTGTTCAACATGTAAGAAGTAGAAAGTACAGGTATTTGAGTTCAACATGTAAGAAGTAGAAAGTACAGGTATTTGTGTTCAAAATGTAAGAAGTAGAAAGTACAGGTATTTGTGTTCAACATGTAAGAAGTAGAAAGTACAGGTATTTGAGTTCAACATGTAAGAAGTAGAAAGTACAGGTATTTGTGTTCAACATGTAAGAAGTAGAAAGTACAGGTATTTGTGTTCAACATGTAAGAAGTAGAAAGTACAGGTATTTGAGTTCAACATGTAAGAAGTAGAAAGTACAGGTGTTTGTGTTCAAAATGTAAGAAGTAGAAAGTACAGGTATTTGTGTTCAAATTGTAAGAAGTAAAAGTAATAAGTAGTGGAGTAAAGTACTGATAGCAGAAACATGTACTTAAGTACAGTAACGAAGTATTTGTACTCCACTACTTCCCACCTCTGTTAATAACGTATTAAACGTCGTGGTTACCTCGGGGTGAAGATGGAGTTGTGCAGGAAGTTCTCGAACACCTTCCTGTAGGAGGCGTCCGCGGCCTCGGCCTCGAGGTCCTCCACTGATTTGGGGCAGGGGCAGCAGGGGCCTTTCTCCGGGCCCTCAGAGTCTGGTTTAGTGGGTTTCAGAGGGTCTTCCTCCTGATCCCCCACTCCCACTGCTGCGATCCTGATGGGGATCTTCAGCTCTGTGGGAGGAAGCAGGAGATCAGATTAATGACAGGAGAAGAACTCTGTCACTCTATAAAGTGTGTGTGCATTTCATGTAAACACTCCTGTAATTATCAGGGTTGTTGAGGTTTTTAGGAGTAACATTTATGTAGGGCTGTGCGATTATGGCAAAAATCATAATCACGATTATTTTGGTCAATAATTGATATCACGATTATCAAATACGATTATTCATGACTTTGAAAACATCCATTTATTGAACTTTTAAATACAAATAATAATTTGAACAGTATCTTTTTAACTGTTGATTTCCCTGAACGTATAATTCAACTGAAAAACCAATACAAAAATAAATAAAATAAATGATACATTTATATTTACATTTAAATAAATAATATCAAAATAATAAATACCAATAAGATCAACAAATATTTTGGAGCGCACTTCAACAAGCTACTAAACATATATAAATATGATAAATACAAATACATGAGATCAAATATGTTGCAGTGCACTGTCACAACCTAGCAAAGCAAAATAATCGTTTTTTTCGATTATGTTGTTTTCGTAATTGTGGCAGGCCAAAATCGTAATTGCGATTAAAATACGATTAATTGCACAGCCCTACATTTATGCACTTTTTAAGCACCGAAAGCAATGTTTTTGTAATTGTTTTATACACAAAGTAATCCATGTATTTTGTCGGCAGTAGCTCAGTCTTCAGGGACTTGGCGTGGCTATATTAAGTCTGTATGCTTTTATTTTGAAGGTGATTATATATTTATTGGAGACAGGTGCAGAACTCTGTAACTCAACAACGAGCAGTAAAGTGTGTGTGTATTACATCTAAACACTTATCAGCATGTGTACAGTTATGAGTAAAATGTAAGCACTTTCAAGGTACCTAAAGCAATACAATCATTGGAGCAGTAGTTGTGATGTGTGTGTACCTTTGGAGCAGTAGTTGTGATGTGTGTGTACCTTTGGAGCAGTAGTTGTGATGTGTGTGTACCTTTGGAGCAGTAGTTGTGATGTGTGTGTACCTTTGGAGCAGTAGTTGTGATGTGTGTGTACCTTTGGAGCAGTAGTTGTGATGTGTGTGTACCTTTGGAGCAGTAGTTGTGATGTGTGTGTACCTTTGGAGCAGTAGTTGTGATGTGTGTGTACCTTTGGAGCACTAGTTGTGATGTGTGTGTACCTTTGGAGCAGTAGTTGTGCTGGTACAGCTCTCTGTCTTCAGGCTGCTGCTGCCACCTCACCAGGTAATACGTCTGGTTTCCATTGGGAGCGATGGGAGGAGACCATCGGACCACCAGCTGGGTGGAGGAGTTAGAGTACGCTCTCACATCCTGAGGCATGGAGGGCGCTGAAAATTAAATTAAAAACAGTATTGAGAATTGTTGGGAAAATAGTGAATGTACTCTTCCAACATGAGAGTACACATGATAACAAAGGTATCCCAACTGTAGCTGTGAACATAACAGGATGTATGATTACCTAGAAGAGCATCAGGACTGTTTGAGGCATATGATAGCTATGTGATTAACATGATGATTCAGCCTCTATGGAGATAGACATATGACAAGCATGATCATTTCTGACGTGGAGCTAATCTGAAGTAAACATTGAATACTGCTTTCTATTCCTCCATCTTGTGACTGTGTAACTCCCTCTCTTGGATATCCAGGGTATATGCAGGAATCCTGAAATCAAATGTAATACCTTTTAAGACCCTTTCCATACATTTTAAGACCTCATCGCCACTTTGAGTTTTAACCGGTTACCTTGGCGACACACTTTACCTCACATTGACTATATACAGTATTGATTGTCCTTCCTCCTTATCTTCCAACCATTTGAACGCTAACTTGCATTTCCCCATAACGATGTTGTTTAACAACCGGCGTAAACGGACCTTCGCGCGCTATCAAGCAGTGAGCGTGCGATGTCCTGTTCAGATGACGTCAAACCCAACAGGATGCCATAAATAAACTACACAGAATCACACTACACACCTACGCAATGATTACATTCAGGCAGACTGTAGAATACAACCTCTTTGGACAATTTATATACTTATTGAAAACAAGCTACAACATGTAATACCTTGGAAAATGCCGTTTAATACTTTTTAATAGCCTTCATTTTCGCTGAATTGATTCATCAACTTTTAATACTTTTTAAGACCCCGCGGACACCCTGATATCAGCATGTGAAGGACACTGTTCAGGAACTAGTTGATGCTCTGTATGTGATGACTACTTCCATTCTGGAGAGGATCAGAAATACATGGATCCTGAGATTGAAGCTCAAGCCGGGGACCAGGGATATTTTTTTAACAAGAATCATCTGTGAAGTAAGAGGAAAGTACGAGCAAACAACTCCCATATTTACCCCATCTAAGAACATTTGTTGTTATTGTTTAGTAGAAAACCGTGCTGGTGATCAACAAAATGTTCAATAACAAAACGCCACATATCGTCCAGAAAGACTTCCAAAATAAAGTTTGTTACTGGGCAAATTAGACTCTATAGAACAACCAACTTTGTTTTCTTTAACCTATATTATTAACAATAAACAAGTTAAATAAAAATATAAGTAAAACAATCTGATCTCTCCGTGGCTGTTTGATATATTAAACCTGGAGTTTTCCTTCATGTTTAAATGTCTCTCGGTGCAGATTCTGATTACAGCTGGATTTGTTTTAAACAATCTCCCATTTCATGTAATTATATCATCGTTTGTGTAAATCAGATTTCCTCCGTCTCTTCCAGTTGCAGCTGTGTTTACTAAACATTCCTCTCCTCCATCTGGACCTCTCTGAACTTCCTCAAACTCAACGGTAATTATTCTGTAGCGCTGTCAGTCAGAAGTCTACAGTCTGTGATAACACATTAAACCATCTGCAAGAAAAGTGGGAGTTTTATCTGATTATGGCCTCTCTTTGAAGGTGAGACAATTAAAACCAGATGCTTCTTATCTTCACACAGAGGTATACCTTTAATATGTTACTTTCCTGTAATACTACAAAGTTCTCCCTCTATCACTTTCAACTGAAGACCCACGTTTATCAACCGTTAAAGAAAACACAGATCATATAACTCCAACCCCAGGTAAACTTCGAATCGATTTTACATTTTTATTGTTGACTTTCACGTTTTTAACGATCTGCCGAATTAAAATACATTAAAACAATCGCAATAACCTATGGTCATGAAGGATGGGTCATGACCGAAAGAACGAGATCGCGGATACAAGCGGCCGAGATGGGTTTTCTCCGCAGGGTGGCTGGCGTCTCCCTTAGGGATAAGGTGAGAAGTTCAGTCATCCGGGAGGGACTCGGAGTTGAACCGCTCCTCCTCCGCGTCAAAAGGAGCCAGTTGAGGTGGTTCGGGCACCTCGTAAGGATGCCACCTGGGAGCCTCCCTATAGGAAGGTGTTCCAGGCACGTCCAGCTGGGAGGAGACCGAGGGGTAGACCTAGGACCAGGTGGAGGGATTATATCTCTTCTCTGGCCTGGGAGCACCTTGGGATCCCCCAGTCAGAGCTGGTTGATGAGGGGAAAGGAACGTTTGGGGCTCTCTGCTGGAACTGATACCTCCGCGACCCGACCACGGATAAGCGGGAGAAGATGGATGGATGGATAAAACAATCACTCTTAGTATTTTTGCAATCCCTCCAGGGTCCCAGTAAATATCTTTGGTGACCTTGCACCCTGCGAACTTTCACCGATAGAGAGCGTTCATACTCAAAACCCACCTTTTTAATTTGCCTTTTAATTGGTATTTAATTACATTTATTAATTCGTACTTTACTTCATTTATTTAAAGGGGACCTATCATGCAAAATGCACTTTTGTACGTCTTTTCTACATGAATATGTGTCCCCGGTGTTCCAGGGAACTCACCAAGTGTCAGAAAACACAACCCTCTCTATTTTCCTCCATACCCAAATCTCTAAAAAAGGGGCTGCAACGGATCTGATAAAAACTGATCCAGATTTGAACACTGTCCTGACGTCAGGACGGTGGCGCTACGGCTATTGGGCCAACTCCACCAATCAGGAGGAGACAGCCACGGCCATTGCCGTTCGAAAGCGCTGGAGACGCTGTAGTACATATGCCAGGCCAGTAGATGGTGCTGTTCTCACTGAATCAACCCTTGCTAAAACAGAGCTAGAAATGGTCAAATTGAGCAAAATGAGGCATGGCTAAAATGCATGATCTGTTTGGTATTTTGAAAAAAAAAAAGTATAAATATGCCTTATATAGGTATGGTCCTACACTATATTATTAAAATATAGCATGATTGGTCCACTTTAAGTTTTCTTTCCAAATAAATAAAGTTTGATTGATTGATTGATTGATTGAATGAATGAATGATTGATTGAGGCATTGAATTGCTGTTCATCTTGATTATGTAATGCCATAATAATTTTATTAACCGCAAAAGAATTATTAAAAAATCTATGAAAAAATTGAAAAATATATCAATAAGTTGTTTTATTTGTCTCTTGACATAATATATAATTAATGTTAGATTTTTATTTAATTTGTGCTCATTCAAAGTGAATGTGTTAGGTGTTTGAAAGACATATTTTTGTATAACAAAGATGTATCTTTTGGGCAAAAAAGGGGGTAAAAAATTGTTATTTTAACCAATTTTAATTCAGTATCTGCTTCGCTGCAGCCATATCTTGAACTTGATGATTGGTGACTGTGTTTTATAAGTAAGATTAATAGAATGTGTGTTCATTCAAAGTTAGTGTGTTAGGGTTTGAAAGACATTTTTGTATGATACAGATTTATGAAAATGAAAAAAGTTATAAATACGTTTTTTGTTTGTCTCTTGACATACTATGCTATTAAAGATATTTTATAGGCAAGATTAATAGATTTTGTGCTCATTCAAAGTTGAAAGATATATGTCAGGGCTGCCAACACTCACGCATTGAGCGTGAGAGTCACGCAATTAACACATATCTCACGCACTCACGCCACACATGCCTTTCCTCACGCTAAGTTTTCGTTCACATGTATATAAATATAAAAATAAAGTGAAGGAACAGCAAACCGAGCGGTCTACGAAATGAGACGGTCAGGCTTACGGAGGACTTCCTGTTTGCGTCACCTGACACCCGCGGTCCGTAGCACTGCCGCCTAGCAACCTGGACCGCGTCACGCATTGTGATTGGCTGTACGGTATTTGCACACTGATTGGATGTAACGAGGGTATACCGGGGGTCTGAGCAAAGACAAGGAGAAGGAGGATGAGAAGAATAAGAGAAGGTAAGGAGAATATATTATAAGATATAAAAATATTTTCTTTTGTTCTTTTTTAATTAATTAAAGTTAATGCTAACAAGTGCCAGTATAGCCCTAATAATTACTACTACTTATTTCGTTTTGATCGTTATATTTGATAATATATTATCCAAAAATCATATATTAATGATATACTTTTATATATTATATATTATCAAAAAGATAATTTTTCCATCTTGAGTCGCGGGTACACTGTGTATGTGCGTACTCCACTGTAGCGCCCGGTACATTAATGGGAAACCCTAGTTTGTACATGTTCAATACATTTGTAACACTGTACACATGGACGTTTCTTTTTTCGGTTCACCAAAAAAAAAAAATCTCACTCCAAGCTGAACTCAAATGTTGGCAGCCCTGTATATGTACTGTATGCAGATTTATCTTATGGGCAAAAAAGGGGGTACAAAATTAGACAAAATTGTTATTTTAACCAATGTATGCTTTGGAGATGTGCACCAGGTAACCTTGATGAGTGGTTCCTGTGAATGGGTGTTCACCTGAGGGGCTGGTGCGGATGTAGACCACCTTGCTCTTGGCGCTGAGGTGTTTGTCGTCCACTTTGAGCGTGATGGCCTTGACGAACACGGCGTACTGCGTCCAGGGCTTCAGGGCGGAGAGCAGCACCCCGGGGTCCGAGTCTTTGTCCGGGCGCAGCTCCACGTCCACCATGTTCCAGCTGTTCGAGCCGCAGCCGTCCTGACCCTCGAACTCCGTGATGTTCTGGAAGGGTCTGCAGAAAACACCGGGTTATATGTGTTAATCATTTGATCAAAAATAGCAATATGGACTAGTGGAGTATTCAAATCGCAGGAAGCACGATATGGGTTTAACTTTTTAATGCTGCTTTAATTCTATCTTGAGATGTTTAAATTCTAGTATAGCTTATTTCTAGTCTATGATTTCTACGTTGTTTTTTATGCTGCTGCAAAGGCCACCAATTAAGCAAAATCCTCTTCTTCATGTCTCTTCTACATCAACATGTGTCCCCTCTTCTTCATGTCTCTTCTACATCAACATGTGTCCCCTCTTCTTCACGTCTCTTCTACATCAACACGGTGTCCCTCTTCTTCACGTCTCTTCTACATCAAACACGGTCTTCCTCTTCATTCTGTCTCTTCTAATCAACATGTGTCCTTTTCTCATGTCTCTCTACATCAACATGTGTCCCCTCTTCTTCATGTCTCTTCTACATCAACATGTGTCCCTCCTCTTCTTCATGTCTCTCTCTTCCTCATCAACATGTGTCCCCTTTTCTTCATGTCTCTTCTTCATCAACATGTGTCCCCTCTTCTCTGTCTCTTCTACATCAACATGTGTCTCCTCTTCTTCATGTCTCTTCTACATCAACATGTGTCCCCTCTTCTTCATGTCTCTTCTACATCAACATGTGTCCCCTCTTCTTCATGTCTCTTCTACATCAACATGTGTCTCCTCTTCTTCATGTCTCTTCTACATCAACATGTGTCCCTCTTCTTCATGTCTCTTCTACATCACATGT